GTGGGTGGATAGGTAATAGGTCGAGGTAGGTGAACCGCAGGTGGGTGGGTGGGTGGGTGGGAGGTATGTGGATGGGTTGTTGGGTGGGTGGGTGGGAGGGATGTGGAAGGTGCATGGGTTGTTGGGTGGGTGAGTGGGTGGGTGGATGTTGCTGGCCTTAGGACGAAGTCAGCTGGGCTCACTATGCAGGGCTAACTTCCTAGACTAGCAAACTTCTGGGTTAACTGTCCCCCCATAAAGTGCCTGCCCCCAGCCTGGGACAGGCCAGTAACGGCCATGGGTGCTTTTTAAGACTCAAGGAGGTGAGCTCACACTCAGAGCACATGAAGGGCCCCAGGAATTCTTGCAAACTCCCGTGACTCTTTCCCTCCAGGTGAGCCGCCGACTGTCCGGGGCAGGGGTTCCGTCCTGGGTTGACCCCGGGAAGCCCGGTGGTGGGACAGTTGGACCCCAGAATCCAGCTGGGAGAAAGAGGTGGTGAGAGTGACCGTCTGCAGGAGCCGCGCAGCTCGCCCGGGTGCTGGCGAGGACCAGGCGCGCAGGGCGCCCTCAGAGACCGCTCTAGGCCACAACCGCGCCAGGCTGCCCGGCTCTGCTCGTCCCCTCCCCCTGCTTCCTGTGCCCTGGCCTCTCTGTCTGGCTCCTGGAGCCGCCTCTGGGTCCGCGGCCAGGGGAGGGCTCCCTTCCACCTGCCTGGGAGCCCAGCTGCCGGTGGACCCGAGGTCTGCGTCCCACCCGGTTCCCAGGTCCCCCCGGAGCCAGCTCCAGGGCCTGGGCAGTCACTGCTGGTGGCAGCTGCTCTGGAGCCCAGCTGCCGGTGGACCCGAGGTCTGCGTCCCACCCGGTTCCCAGGTCCCCCCGGAGCCAGCTCCAGGGACTGGGCAGTCACTGCTGGTGGCAGCTGCTCTGAGGCCCCGCCCCTCAGCGCCTCCCCATTCCCCCCAAAGGGTCCAGGGGCCGCCAGGCCTGCCTTTGGGGAGGTGCATGGGGGGCGTGGTGTGGACTGTGGGGCAAGGGGTACGCAGGGGGGCACAGGGCAGGGGTGGCATTTGAGCCAAGACGTGAAGGCGATGGGCAGGCCGTGTGGACGCCTGGATGTGCACAGGCCCCACGCAGGCAAGCCGGTCCTGAAGCCAAAAGTGGCCCGAGGCCAGGGCGGGGTCCTCAGGGCCCCAAGCAGAAGCAGGCCATGTTGGGCAGGAACCTCTCGGTGTCCTTGCTGCTCTGGCCTGTCCTGCTCGTCCTCTTGCAGCCCTGGACATGCTCGGGTGGACAGGTCTGGCAGCAAAGGGCCACGCCTGGGCTCCTGCACTAGGTCCTCTCTGGCCACCCTCTGGGCACAGCAGCTGCCGCCCAGCCTGCCCAGTATCAGGAGAACTGTCCGGACAGGCCTGTCCCCAGGGGCCTCCCAGCAGGTGTTGGAGCTGCCCCCCTGGCCCCCACCTCCGGGAGGGGACCTGACAGTACCTGCCCCTGAGGGTGCCTGCCCCTGAGGGTGCCCGCCCCTGAGGGTGCCCGCCCCTGAGGGTGCCCGCTGAACTTCAGGGTTTCCACAGCATTTAAACGCCTGCAGGCGGATTAGGAGGGACTGGGTAGTGGCGGCCGCCGTGTCTGCCCTGTCTGCAGGGCCGGCTGCTCAGGCTGCTCAGGCCACATGAATATTGATGGCGGCGGATTGAGGGCAGCAGCCGGCTTATCTCGCGGCACAGGCTGCGGGGCCTTATCAGGCCGCACGGCTGCAGCTGTCCCCCTGCGCCCGCCCGCCCCGCGCGGTCTGTAATCACAAGAGAAGTTGCTGCCTTGATATTTCCATTTTTATCTCTTTTATTTACTTCATTTAATGTCTTTCAGGGAATATTTTCTTTTTCAATAAAGCAGGCTGTGGTCGCTCGCATCTTTCTGCCGCCGAGCCCCAGGCTGAGCTGGAGGGAGGGTGCCCAGCTCTGCCCTCAGCCCTACCGAGGGGTCCTCCCTGCCCCAGCCCCAGGGTCTCCCCTCTGCTCCCCGTGGCCACCTGTCCTCCCCATCGTCCACCATCCCCTGCCCGGTCCCCTCTGCAGGACCCTGGCTGGCACAGTCGCTCCCTGGGATGGTCCTGCAGGACGGGCAGTTCTGAGCTCCTGGTCGGCATCTCCCAGATGGCCCCTGATTTCAGGGAGATGTGGTTATCTGCCTTTCACAGACGAGGAAGCCGAGGTTCCGGGAGGTTATCTGCCTTTGTCACTTGCTCCTGGCTGGCAACTTGTGACAGAAAGGAAGGAGGGACTGCAGGCGGGGGCCCCGGGGGCCGCTTGTGCTCAGCTTCAGTCTTCATCCAGCAGAGGCGGCATCCAGCGAGGACCCCGTGACATTGGCCACCTTGGTCCTGTGGGCCCCTTCTCCCGGGCACGTGGTGGCTCACAGCCGGGCCGCTGCGGGCAGCTCCTGCGAGGTGCGGCCGAGGGTCAGACACTGGCTCCCATTCTCCTCCATGGGCCCACTCCCGGTTGAGGATCACTGGGGCCCCGGTAGGCGGAAGGGGGCCTTTCAGGGCACGGCCACATCCTAAAAACCAGAAGTAAATGTGACCTTATTTTTAAGAAAAGCTCTTTCCAAGAGAAATTAAGTGACCGGGTCAGTTGGAGCAGGTCCTCAATCCCATGGCCCAAGTCCTTAGAAGGAGGAAGATTCACACAGGCAGGGAAGGTGGCTGCCCTGAGGGTGAGGTGGAGCCTGGAACCAAGCGGCCCTAAGTGGAGGAGGCCAGGCCACAGGAGCAGGAGGCAGCAGGAGGGAGTCCCTGAGCCGGGGGCGCGCACCTGCTAACCTTCCTGTCACATCCGGCCTCCAGACGGCCAGGGTACATGGCTGTGATCAAAGCCCCCAGTGTGCGGCCTTTGCCCCCGCGCACCAGGAAGCCGCGTGGCCCCGCCCAGCTCTGAGCCCCTCCTGCAGGACGCGCTGCCAACCTCAGCCTGCAGCACCGGGCCCTGCCTGCCCACCCAGGATGCTCAGGGCACCGTGGTCAACCAGGCAAAGCAACCCCCAGGGAGGAACCAGGCCTGAGCACCAGGAGGCTCAGGGGTGCCAAAGGCTCAGGGTGAGGCCGTGGCTGGTCCCCAAGCCAGGCTGCCCCGTCCCCAGCCCTGCGGTTAGCTGCCCCTCTCCTGCAGTCGTGAGAGGGCAGCATCAGAAGAGCAGCCACAGTTCCTGAGCCCTGGCGTGGAGCTGAGCCCCCGACGCACCTGCACACTTGTGTGAGTGAGAGGATGCTGTGTCCCCAGGGCTCCGGGCCTAACTGTCCTGCAGCCATCCTGCCCAGCTAGAAAAGGCCAGAGTGGACAGAGCGCCAGCCGGCTTCTGTCGTTACGAGAAAGCTTGAAGCCAGGAGAAAGCGGCACCCTCTCTTCCTGGGGTCAGGCCCTCTCTGTGAAGCCACCCCTTCCCCACATCCTCACAAGGCCACCAGGGTGGGGAGGCACCGTGGGGTATGCTCGAGTGGCCGTGAGTGACTCGTGCCCAGGGAGGAAGCCCAGGTAATCTGGGAGGGAGAGGGCCACGGAGCTGCCCCCAGGGCTCTGGGAGGAAAAGCCTGGGCCCAGGGCTGGGTCTGCATGGGACATGGGGAACTGGGACAAGCCCATCTTGTGGGACGGTGGACACACGAAACAGGAGGGAAGAAGTTTGTGAAGGACAGAGGTAGCCCTGGGTGGATCCAGGTACTGGGGTCCTGGTCAGGAGAGTCCACTGGGGGCTCCCCAGCGTGGCCCAGCTGGAGGCCTGTGGAGCATCCACAGGGGCAGAGAAGCTTCTCCGCCCAGGAGTCTGCCCCCCTGTGCAGGCAAGCCCCACACAGGTGAGCACCAAGAGCAGGTGCGACAGGAAGCTCCGAGGCCAGAACGGGGGACTCACGGGGGCTGGTGCCAGAAGACCCCAGGAGGCCACGGCCAGGGCAGCCCACAGAGGGACGTGCTGGCACACACACAGCACAGACCCGTCACCAGAGGTGCCAGGGCCCAAGGAGCCCGTTAGAGCACACACTGCTACCCAGAGCTCCTGCGAGACCCGGACTGGAAACTGTGCAGAAGCAACACGTCAGACCACCGTGAATTTGGGGCAGTGGGTTTTGAAGGAGCTACAGGAGGTGAAATGCCCGTCTGACACAGAGGAGGTGAAATGCCCCTGTGATCCGGAGGAGGTGAAATGCCTGTGTGACACGGAGGAGGTGAAATGCCCATCTGACATGGAGGAGGCGGTAGCTGCTCTCATGTCAATCAGCTTTGCTGCAGGGACAGGCCCCAGCCTGGGCAGCCTGTGGTGCATGGTCACCTCCCGCCCACCGTGTGTGGTGCAGGACAGACCTGGGCTGCCCTTGTCACCAGGATATGGGGTCGTCCCTGGAGGCCGATGTCCATTCACATACGGAGGTGAGGAAGGAGCTGGCACGAGACTCGGCCATCCCACCGCCTGGCAGGTATCAGTGCCATGTTCACAGGCCAGAGATGCCTAGACATGCAGCACACATGGCCTCTGGACAGGTAGGCCAGGAGGTGGGGGTGCCCAATCCTGCTCCAGCTGGGCCACACGGCCTGCCACCCGGGAAGCCAGCACAGGCCTCCAGGGCTCTCGGCCGGGCTGGGCCAGGCAAGTAGGGGACAAAAGCAGTGGGTGAAGGGACAGTGAGCAGAACCAGGAACTGGGAGGAGAGGTGGGCGCTGGCCACCAGGGTGCAAGGGGCATGGTGTGTTCACTGCCCCGTGCCCAGGCAACCCGGGGGGAACTACCAGGAGGAGGGAAGAGAGCAGGTGAGATGGCCACAGGCGGGCAGTGAGGGAGGCCAGCATGGAGCTGTGCAAGCTGGCCAAGGGCTTCCTGCCCACTGCAGGGTCCAGAATGTGGGCAGAAAGGTGAGCACCTGGGACCTGAGCCTCCGCCAGGTGTCTGGCCTTCACCTCCACATACCCAGCCTCCTCTGCTAGGGGTGCCCCTCCTGCCCTCCTGTGCCACTCCAGCAAGCAGCTGGGCTGGCCAGCTGTGCACCTGATGTGGCAGGCAAGGGGACAGCTGTCCATCTGCTCCTCTCCCGGCCATCCCTTTTCTGGAGCCCACACCTCCAGCTGGGCTCTAAGCGAGACCGTAGTGGGTGGATGCAGGCACCTGCTGGAGGGGCTCGGCCAGGCCACGGGCAAGAGGCACAGGGGTCCTGCAGGCAGCACCCCCTTCTCCTGAGCCGCCCCTCGCCTTCCCTTCCTGCCCCTCCTCTCGGGCCCACATTGGCCCTCCTGGGTGATCTCCTAGGTGCCCTCTGGGCAGGCTCCTGCCCCACCCCTGCCCTCAGGGGCCCCAACGTGGCCTTTGCTCTACCGGCCCTGCTCCCTCCACTTCCCAGCACCCCAGTATTTCGGGGTCTGAGCAGAGCTTCCCCAGCTCTACGTTGTGGATGGTCTCCCCAAGGACACCCCAGTGCACATGGTGCCCCCCACCAGCCGTGGCTGACTGCACTACGGATCCTCTGGGCCCCCAGACCATCTGCCAGGGGCCCTTTGGCCACACCTTCCCCACCTCAGAAGGCCCTGGCTCTCATGGCTACTGTCCCGCTCCCCGGCCCTGCCCAGTCTGCCCGCTGACCTGTCTGTGCCCCTTACACTGACCCACACTCAGGAGGCCTGCCAGGCTGCAGGCTGGGCTATCTGTGACCACACAACACCTGTGACCACACCTCCACCTG